TTAATGTTATTTTCCAAGTGTCTTTCCTGTCCTACACATACAATATGTGAAGTAATGTGATGTAGCTTACCTTGAACAAAGAATGACACTGAACTTTTAATGGACAATACAAATCATATTTCCAGGGAAACCTGCTATGAAACACATCATGTATAATAACTACTTACTGTCTGGGAGTTAGTTATTTGTCAAAACTCTTAGGTTCTTAAATGCCCACAACCCATGACCCTTTAAATTACCTGCAGTAAAATTTTACAAATATAACTAATAAATTAGCAAGTCTAGGTTTATTATATATCTGTTTTTAAACAGATCAAGAAGTTAAAATCCTGTAACTTCATTACTTCAATGAAATATGACAAAGTGATTGCAATAAAGGGAAATAAAAGCAATAGACTCCAATCAATCATTAACACTCCAAGGGGTTATTGCAACTGATCTTAAACCCATAAGAAACAATGCTTCTGGTATTGTATGAATGTGTTCTGGAGATGGCAAAGCACACCCCACAGGTTGCCTCCTGTAGGAAGTTATCACTACATTCAAAAAAACCCCAACAACCCAGCTGACATAAAAACAGTCCAAAAGAGCTTTTGTGTTTGACACACACAAAATGGATTTATCCATCTGTCTTAGGGTGACTTTATAATGCTTGTATCCCCAGCTGTCCATTCTGTTTATGTTGGATATTAATTTCTTCACCTTTAAGATTAGTTCTGAAAGAGAAAGGGAGAGAAAAAGAAACGTGCAGGTTTTTTGCAGAAATTGCACTCACTCCTCTGTGATGTTGCTCCTGGACTGTGTCTGCAGCACAAACAGACAGTGGGAGAGAACTCTTCTTTTCTTTTCTGCTTTTTAGTTAGGTTTTAGCTAGCTGAAGCAGAGAAGTTCCCCAAACTGTGTTTTTTCTTTTTCCTGGGACTGTTCAGCCCTGCTTTGGACTGAAAACCCCCAAAAAAACACCGAAAGTTCATGCCAGTGGCCCACAGGAACCTGGAACATTGCATTCCAGTGCTGGAGGGAATGAAAAGACTGAGCGAGCCAAGTTACACCTCACAACAAGAACTTTCTGAATTTGCCATCTCTTCAGAACAGAAAGAAGTTCTATTATTTAATATTAATCAATTTTTATGCTTCTGAATACTTTGCTAAATAAACTGTTTTTTCCACTTTTCTCCAAAGGAATCTTTTCCTGGACTGGTGGGAGGAAAGGACACTTGAATTTGCTTTTCTAGAGAAATTCCCATTTGGAAGTTTCCTCCAAAATTTTTCTTAAACCAAGACACCATCTTGAATAATTATAATCAAAACTCATACTCTCAACCATGCTTGCATCCTGATTCACACAGTCCTTACAGATACTGGAATTCAGCCTGAAAAAACAATGTTGTGCACATGATAAGTGAGTATTTCTATAAATAAATTTAGAATCCTATTAACATTTTTACTGACTTGATAAATCTGCGCCTTTAGAAGATCCTGTCCCACTGAAATTCATTCAACATTTTCAAGAAGAGAGTTTCTTGTAATGGGTGTCAGTGTCTGAATTAAATAGCATCTGATGTTAAATACCTGAATTCAAGAACATAAACTTCAAGTCTTTGTTAAAGGGATGAAAGAAAAATATCTTTGAAATTCGAGTTTCAAGTATTCAGATATGTAAATTACTTCTGAGGGAACACAAACAGATGAAAAATGCCCCTGGAAAGGCTGCATGTGTCCATATTCAGTTTTACACTAGTTTATCGCTGAGATAAATCGATGGCAGTTTTTCATGTTCAAATACAAGCAAAACTTGTAAGTGATTTCAAAAAATTATTAAATAATCATTGGAGATTCTCACTATATTGCAACACAGTAAAAGTAGAAGTGGAGATTATACTAAAATCCTGTGCAATGCAACTCAGTGAATGTTGCGAAATGTAAAAAGGGCATCATCAATAAGACAAATGCAACTACATCTAACTGAAGTATGACACAAGAAAATATTAAAATGGAAAGTCTTTTATAGCTAGTGGTTCTTTAAACCCAAATACTGAAGCTGAAAGGTGAAAATCTGAGTGCATCAAGAGATCCAGTTCAGAAATTGCAACTGAAAAGAGACAACCCAGAGGCAACATTCATTCAAACTCTGATGATCTGTCTGAAAGAATAGAGCCTGAGGACAAAAAATATTTAGACCCTTGCAGTAAATTTGAAAGAAGAGATCTTTAGGCAGGAATTGCACAGGCCTTAACAATGAGCTGGGATGCAGAGATCTTCAGGACAGCCTCTCGTCAGGACCTGAGACTGGAAAACTATGGAGTTAGCAGGGGACTATGTGCACCCTCTGATAATGAGCTTCACTGAACCTCTGTTATGTTCTGGCCATCACCAAATACTGAATTGAAATTAATGCATGGCACTGCATACTGAAAGATTAGAGTAAAAGAAAAACCAGGAGAGGCATCATAGCTGGTCCAAGACCGAAGCTGCCTCCTTCAGTGTAAATCCAATCTATCAAGTCACATTTACAAAACTCAAAGAGCTTGCCTAATGTGTGTTATGTCTCATCAAATGGCACTGTCATTTTTTCAGGATATTCAAAACTCTACAGTAAAATTTGAAAAAGTTGACTTTCTCTTCACTATACATGGACTATATAACTTCTTTTTCTTTATTTTGTCTTACTAGTATACACTGTGTGGTGATCTATAAATTTAAAGGAAAAATATTAAATAAAATATTACCCAGTAAAAGAGTTTTGTAAAGGTGTTGTTTTGCAAAGGAAAAAAATCTGACCTAATAAATTTTTACAATTGTTCTGCCTTTCTAAAAAAATTAACTTTATACATTAAGATTTTCAGGATCATACACAATCTGCCTAAGTTAGACACCCTGGTATAAAAAAGAGATATGTTTCTTTCCCATTGCAGAATTCAGGATCCTAAAATTCATTCATAAAGCAGCTGAGTGAAAGAAACACCCTAGAGGTCTCTTGAGGGTGTCTCAGAAACCCAATAGTGGACAGCTGCTCTGAAGGCAGTCTAAGAAAGGAGATTTTAGAGTTCTGCTCCCTGGAATTCCTCTGTGTTCAGCCAAGTGGCATCTAATGTTGTAGACACCCACTGGTAGCTAGTGGGTGTTAATCACTAGCATAACCAAAGCATAAGCTCTGGAGTAACCCTAAAGAACTGAAAAATGAGTATCTCTTTAAATGCTTAATAACTTTCAGTGCTATATCCTTCTATGACATACTGAATCAGGTTTCAATTTCTTTGGTGTTTTCTTTCTTTCTTTTCCTAGAAAGTACCCTCAATTAAAAGCATGCCCACTTTTCAGAGGTCACTTGCAAAAGTTTTCAAGTTATACAGGGGTTTGTTATAATATTTAAACCCTTGCAAACATATGCTGAATATGCTATTTCTTGATAGGAAATATTAAGATTTCTAAACTTTATCTTTATTCTCATTATCCTTAAACTAGTTCAGGTTTTAATTTAGAAATTAAATGACTTGCAGATTCTTCTCATGGCCACAGAGTCTTTCGTCCTTTAATGAGGTAGCAGTTGATGCCTCTTAATGGGAATGTCTGACTGTTCTGCTTCACAGCAATTCTTATATATTCAAGAATTATGGAAGTAATCGCGTTCTGTAGAAATACATCCCACTACAGCGAGTGATATGGTTCTCAGATTTCCAATTTACATGTTTTAAATTAATAGCTGTTTACTCTGCTGTACAATAAAAAGGGTAGTTATCACTGGAGCTAATTCATTACACAGTACTTTATTTCTGAGATTCACAGTCTTTCCATGTACAGGACACAAAGTAAGCAATTACAATAAGCATATATCTGTCAAGATATAAGGTAACATTTAGATTACCTAAGCCACTTTCTGCAAAGACTCATCACCATGCCATTTAAAAGACTTTAAAGAATGTGTTTGCCTTCTGAAATTGATTAGGAAAAAGGCAAAATGGCAGAAATTGAGGACAAGAGCTTAAAGCACCAAAAATCTAATTTTTAACATAATGTAGATTTCATTCTCTACTGGTTTAATTCATACCATTTGTTCAGCACTGCCTTCAGCATTTAAGGGAAAATAAGACTGAATGATATTGCTTGCTCTGTAACATAGCAGTCAATAAATATTCTTTAACATACATTTAATCAATGTACTTCTTAGCACAGGAAAAATGTAAGTATCTTTATTTATTCTTCAGAAAAGTTAAGATCTGCTTTTTGGTCTCTGGAGTATTACCACATTGGTTGTAAGCAGAACAGGCAATACAAACAACCAGAGAAAGAAAATCCTAAGAAGGGAACCATCATCTACCTGGTATTTTTTCAGGCTTGCAGTGTTTTCTCTGATTTAAGGGGAGAGGGATAGTGGGGACTGTTTAGAAAAATTGGGCTAAATATTGAAATAGAAAAAGATTCCCAGTTAAAGATGGCTATAGATGGCCTATGATGCACAGATTAATTTAAACAACAAAGCCTAAATATAGGCAAAAAATAAATGTTCTTCAAATGCTACTTGCTTTGTTGCTTGTTTTATCAACATTTGTCATGATTAAATATGCATAAATACTACAGCTAGAGTATAGGAAAATATATTAGAGATTTTAAAGGGAAACTACTAGTATTGAATGATTGGTAGTATTAATTTAATCCATCTGTATGTATATTGCTGCAATGCTGAAAGAAAAACACAAACACAGGCGAAGACTTCTGAATTACAAAACTGTCAGTATTCCTCAAAGCTGTTGGCAGTGTTCACCTTTATAGTATTTGGGTCCTTAGTTGAAGTCAGTGTGGTTTTGTTGCACAGCTCATGATGGAAGAAGAGTTTAATATAGTTGGAAGGATTTTTGCATAATATACATGTTCTTTCATAGAGATTTTTTTAATTGCTTCTCTCAATTACTACTCTAAATTTGAATTAAACTACACAATTCCTGGAGTTTTACAAGGAAAAAGTGATTAATTCTTGAATGTACGCTATTTCTCCCTTTTAGAATTCTCTACTGCTGAACCCTTAGAAATATTTATCTATTAAGGTAAGTTTTGTTATATGTTTTAAGCATTATCACTTTGATGCCTTTTGTATAAGTTATGTGATCCTCTATCCTCCTTTTCTTAAATGCAAATAATGAATGTGCTATGTAAATGGGACAGTCTGAAAGATAAATTGTACTACAGTCTTAGAACTCTCAGTAACTAAAAGCACTGTCACATCATGGAAGTATTGAAAATAGCTGATTATTATTTAACAAAGGAAAAGATGATTCTGAGCATGAGCAACTTTATGTTCTCTCATTAAAGAAGTTGATCTACTAAAAGACTTCAAAGCTTCACTATTGCTGTTTGAGAAATGTGATGTTTACTTCTTTAGTCAACAAAGCAAAATATTAAAACTGATTTTTTTTATTTAATGCAAAATATTTTCAAGATGCAATATCTCATTTCTCAGTTCAAAATCTGAGAAAATGTAATTAAATTTTTGATTTAATAAGGTATTTGAAGAAATAAGAGATGCTATAAATTTGCAAAAAATAATGTCTAATGTTCAACACTATGCAAAATTCAACTCTATTTGAAGATTTACTTCAGCTGATGGCTCAGACACTGAATTAGGATTTTTTCAAAATATCACAGCCACATTCATGATTCTGAAATACAGATCTAGCTAATAGATCTGAATACATATGACTGCAATAGAAAAGATACATGTAGAACTCATTGTAGCATCTGGTCCCTCTTGTAGTTTAGGTCATATTCCATTCAATCTTTGAACCAGTATAAACAGTGTGATGACATCTTAGGAAGTACAAGCTGTAGCTGTGCATTGACTGCAAAATGCTTTGGGCAAAATGAAAGACTTGAAAAGGGTTATCTGGAAATTACTTTACATGCATGATTTTATTATGCTACTGAATTATAGAAAGGGCAGTTCATTCCTGTCATTCACGAGCCTGTCACTGTAAGCGAAAATAAGAAGTAGGTTTTTACATATGTATGTAAACAAAATTCTTATGTATATATGCATGTATATACACATAATGCAAACTTGTACAGAGCTTCTTCCTAAATACGCCTTTTAAAAATCTAAATCTGAAATTTTAAATGCAATGCTGATTTCATTCAGCTCCATATGACAAGTAAATTGGGAATCGAGATCTCCTATTTGAGTATTTAAGGATGCTGATTTCGTTTTCCTAAACCTTTTAATTTACTTTTAAGTTATAAATCATTGAGTTATTACTAATGAAAACTAAATACTGTTTTAAGGTAAAAAAATTTTTCACTTAATTTAGTAAGACATGAGATCTTTTGTTTGCCTTTTGTTTGCTTGCAGGGGTACTTTATCTGTAAATATCTCAGAACATATGAAATTTATGTTAGGAAGATTTACACTGTTGAAGTAATCACTCAAAAATGTAAAATACAGAATCAAATACCCCAGGAGAGAAAAAAATCAGTCATATTTTCATTTCAAATAGTGATTTCAATACTTTAGAGTCAACACAGAAATTATGTAATAACATTTCAAAAGAAATACAATGAACAACATATTGGAAAAGGTTTACCACCTTTAACCAGAACATTCTCCTATTTTGTCAAACACTTTTTACTGCTTTTGAAAAAATTGATCTGTAAACAAAACACTGCACTGCCTTGACAAACAAGGCAACACTTGACATGAATTCATGAATAGAAAGCAATGTTACTGCCAGTTTTAAAAATGTAGCACATGTTAATATTTTGAAAGCCTAATTAACACATTGGGAGTGTTTCTACTGAGTTCAGTAAGGCTATGGTGTCCATCTTAGTGTGCATCTCACTAGGCTTGTCAGAGAAAGCAAGTGATGTGACTCTACATGCATTTAAACATCACCAGCTCAGGCTCAGTAATACAAACATTCCTCTAGATGTAGTCACTGGAGATTTTAAAGATGGATAACTATCATATCTGTTTCACAGACAGTCAGACTAAGGCTCAGAGGCTTTACAATTCCCACTGCAACTGCCTTGTAGACTCTATCTCTCCTCGGTCAGTGTAGAGCGCTCCATCTTCCCATGCTACAGCATTTTTACTAAAACCTTGGAAAATTAAAAAAAAAAAATAATGTCTGTTTGAGAATACAAAGAATGGCTACAGAATTCCTAGAAAGTATTTATCCTGACCTTAAGAGCAAAGCATTTAATGTATTTTTCTTTGTTAGCAAAATCTCCTTTGATACAAGGATAAACAGTGAAAAAGACCTGTCCAATTACTTTCCATAGATCATAAAATCATAACATTGATTAGATCAGAAAAGACCCTAAGGACCTTAAGTCCAACCATTATCCCAGAACTGCCAAGTCCATCACTAAATCATGATCCTAAGAACCACATCCACAAGACTTTACCTCCAGGGATGATCATTCCACCACATCCCTGGACAACCTGGTTCAATGCTTGATAATCCTTTTATAGAAGAAATTTTTCCTAATATCTAGTCTAAATATGCCTTGGTGCCACTTGTGTTTTCCCCTTGTCCTGCCACTTGCTACCTGGGAGAAGAGACTGACCCCACCTGGCTACACCCTTCTTCAGGCAGTTGTGGAAATAGGGTGCCCCTGAGGCTCCTTTTCTCCAGGCTAAACACCCCCAGCCCTTCAGCTGCTCCTCACAGGATCCGTGCTCCAGACCCTTCCCCTCTGGACCCACTCCAGCCCCTCAATGTCTTTCTTGCAGTGAGAGGCCCAGAATTGAGCACACTACTCAAGGTATGACCTCAGCAGTGCTGTGTACAAGGGGACAGTCACAGCCCTGGTCTTGTTTGCCACAGCAGTGCTGATCCAGGCCAGGTTTCCATTGGCCTTCTTGGTCACCTGGGTCATGTTCAGCTGCTGTTGACCAGCACCCCCAGGTCCCCTTCCATTGGGCAACTTCCCAGCCCCTGCTTCCAGCCTGTAGCACTGGGGATGTTGTGACCCAAGTGCAGGATGCAGCACTTGACCTTACTGAATCTCATCTAATTGACTTTGGTCCATCAATCCAACCTATCCACATCCCCCAGTAGAAGCTTCCTACCCTCCAGAAGATCAACACTTCCATCCAACTTGGAGTCATCTGCAATCTGAGGGTGCACTCCATTTCCTCATTCAAGTTGTTGATAAACGGGGTTGTCTCCAATGCTGAGCCCTGGGAAGCACCAGCTGTAACTGGCCCCAAGCTGATGTAACTCCAGTCACTCTGAGCCCGGCTGTCCAGACAGTTTTTTACCCAACAAAGTGTACTCCTGTCCACACCACACACAGCCAGTTTCTTCAGGAGAGCACTGTGGGAAATGGTGTCAAAGGCTTTATAAAGTCCATGTAGACAATAACCAAAACCTTCCTTTCATCTACTAAGCAGGTCTACTTGTCATAGAAGGAGAGCAGGTTGGTTAAGCAAGACATGACTTTCCTGATTATCCCACCTGTTCTACATGATTGCATTCAAGATGATCTGCTCCATGTCGTTCCTCAGAACCAAAGTCAGACTGACAGGGTTATTGTTCTCCAAATCCTCCCTCTGCCATTTTTATAGATGGGCGTCATACTGGGTAACCTCCACTCACCTGGGACCTCTCCAGTTAGCCAGGGCTGCTGGGAAATGATCTGCTATGCAAGTATAAAATCTACACCTAATTAATTAATAATTAGCATAAAGAATATGATCTTTCTGAAGGTAGGATCAAATAAGTGGGCTGATGGAGACAGCTGCAAAGTACATATAGATGCTGGGAGTTCCTAGGTGTGTTTGAAGTTTTAAAGGGAAACATCAACAGAAAAGAGATTAAAACACTGAATGGACTGCATTCCTTTGAAAGTTACTATAGGTGATGTATTGAAATATCAAAACTGACTCAGTAATTTCTGACATTTGGGTAAGTAAATATTTCCCTGATCCTACCCAGCATAATTGATCATTAGCTTTCCTTCAGTGTCTTTTCTGCCTGTATTTTTAGAAATAAAATTTACAGGAAGGACACATTCTGGGACATAGCATCCCCTCTCATGCTGTAGGTCAAATAAAATACTGTAGTAAAGATGTAATAAATTAAGTTAGATTTTCAGAAGTATATTATTTTATGCTGTGTCAGCTAAACCAATTTAAAACATAAAGCAGAGATACATCATCTGCCACTGAAGAGAGACAAAGAGAGCCACTGGCAGCTAAGCTTTTCTGAAGGCCACTTATATTTAGCATCTGAATTTGGATTTTGGAGCCTACCTCTGTGTTCTCACCAAATACCCTTAAACTTTTCAGAACTCCTTTTTTTTTTTTTTATAAAATGATCCCAGATAAATTCAGTAAAAAACAAACACACTTCGCATTTCCTGCAACAGTTTATATAATAATTTACCTTAATGTCACTATATGATTTATAACAAATAGATATTGTTACTCTGCTATTCTTTCCTAATCACAATACTTGTGCACAGTGTGGTGCTATGTCCCATGGTCTGCCTAGAGATTTTGTGATGTCAATGCTGAAGCTAAATCTTTGAAACCACCTACCTAACACAAGGGCATATGTAAACAAGCCTTCTGTCACTCCTCGGGCCTCTTGCCTTTTCCCACAGCTTTCTGCCAGCAGCATTTTAGAGAATCACCATCCACTTTCCCACTCAATCCAAGTTCCTCCTTCCCTCCTACCCCAACATTTCACTATGCTTGAGCACATTAAAGAGGAAGGCTTTTAATCTTGATGCAAGGGTAGGGCTGTGGTAATTTTCTCTCCTTCTTCACTGAAACATAATGTCAGTCTTTTCTGAGGAAAAGTCCAAGGGGAATTTTCTCACACTACTGCAAAAAACTCCCAAATCAAATAGTATTACTTATTGAGTAACTCAGTTAGTCTACCTCCTATTTAAAGAGTAATTTTTTGGTGTTATTCCTGTTGAGCATCTTCTTAATCTAAAACTGCAAGTTTATTTGCAGTCCAATTCATGTGCTGTGGAATCAACACATAGTGAATGCACACAGCACCTCATAAAAATAATGTAGAGTCCAGCAAGATGTGGCAGTCCAACTCCTGGCAGTGTTTCTATTGATTTATAGGATATTTTTGTTAGCATTCAAAAATGGCAGAGAGAATGCTAAAGTAGAAAATTTGCAAATGAAATGGAAAAACATAAGGAACACTCATCTTCTCTTGAAAAATTCTTGTGTGTAAGGAAATTAAAATTTGCATGCATTTGTATTCCAAGGAAATGACTGGGCAGAGGATAATATCCCTACATGAATTTTAAAGCTTTCAGATATTTCAGACACAAACATTTCTAACAATTTTAATAAAATTGCTTTGTAGATAATGCACTGTGTTTGCCTGTTACAGAACACCTGCTTCATAATGCTCAATCACGACATTAGAAAAAATAATTAAAATATATTAAATTCGTAATTCTCCATCGTTCTGCGTAATGCAACATTTAGTGCTAAAGAGCAGCTATTGAATGACACTTCCAGTGAATGGAGCCAGAATGTCTGGTCATTAGATGATAGCAGCAATATTTTACATAGTAAGCAGATGTCAAATGAATTCATCAATACAAATAGAAATCTCCTTAATAGGATCTAAACTCCATCTTTTAAAACATCAGTAATTTAATTATGCTTTCCATACACAAAGGACAAACTTATATTTTTTACTGGAAATTACTTTTGGTTTGGGGTTCTAAAACAATAAAATGAGGAATAAAAGAAAGCAAACATTCAGGAAAGTCTGGAAAGGAAGTACAGTTCTTTCATTTGGGATGAGTTATAACACATTTGCCATCATCTTCTAGACCACCAGTAGACAGAAAATGACACTGCTACAGTGATACCCAGTACAAACACATATACAACCCATTTCCCTGTGGATAATTCTCTTACATGAAAATGTTGTATGGCATAAACTAGTATATATTTATAATTGAAAGAAAATAGGTAATTAGGATAATCTGTTGCTTTTTTCACTCTCATCCTTCCTTTTTAAATGATGCCTTTCCAAAAATTAAAATAGAATGAAATCTCATGGGCTTGTTTGAATCTGCATAATACCATTCCAGATGCTCTGCTTTATCTTTGGCTTTCAGTAACAATTAGGCAAAACACAGTATTTAATTTGGAGGCCCAATTTTTTAAGTATGGGGAGTCCTGAATTACACAGAATAGAATTCAACAGAATTCAGACTATGTAGTCTGAAATATCATACACAATTCCCTTGTACTTCTGTCATAAAAAACGCCATCTAATCCTTTTGTCTTCTTGTAGTGGTTCTCCTGACATGTATTCCAATCTGTTTGGGTTTTTGTCTATGGTGACGGTTTTCCTCAACATTCTTTCTGGTGCAGAATCCTACAAATGGATTCAACAAAACAAGAAAAATTATTATCTCTGTATAAATTGAATTTTCTACCCATTACTGATGCATTTTCTCTGTATTATCCTACAAATATACTGCTTTTTGATGCTCTTTGAGGTAAATTGTTGTCTTTGAGAAAAAATATCTACATAATGACCAAATTTGCCCTATCCTTTCACAGAATTGGAAGGGCTTTTCCCTTGATTCTCCAATACTCTCTATATGACTAGTCAGAAATTTTCACAGATAAAATTAAACAGCTTTTTTTTTTGTTGTTGTTGTTCCAGTCTGCCCTCTGGACTCACCTTGCTATAATAATATTCTGGCCTACTTTCTGTTTAACATACTTTTGATAGTTTCATCATAGTCAAATAATTATTGATATCAAGCCTATAATTAAGGTAATAAAATTATCTTTGGCTCTTATGTAATTATACTTCTTCTGCATTTTTATTGTCTACCACTCTTCAGAAAATTGAAATATCACCTGCATCATCCAGTTCATAATTTACATTTGATTGAGGCTGTACCAGATTGTCAACTGTGGTCCCTTCCCACTTTGCCATTCTGTGATATGTAAGATCACACACACTTTATTAGTTTGAGCTTCCTTGTACAATTAGAGTTTATTGCAAAAGTCTGAACAGATTGCTCACTGTGTAAGAGGAATAGACTGTAAGTAAAAGGGGATGCTTCTAGCTGTAATTTTTCAGTTATGAGTGTGCTACCTAAAACCACACTTTACAATACAACCTAGGCAGGCTGGCTAGGGATGAGGCAATCTGCAAGAGGCTGATTTGTTGGAGGTATGAACTGCAGTTCATACCTTTCCTTATTAGTTCTAAAGTAAATGAAACGGCAACTGGAGATAAACTAAATAAGTCCTTGTGAGACCATAGAAACTAAGGTTTGTGGAGTGCTTGGATCTACTGCTGACTGTTTGATTATTTTCTATTTAGCAGATACATTTCTGGCAGCAGAACAGAGCACTCCCTCCCATTGATTCAATTCTTAGGAGCAATGAAACCTTCTACAGCATTCAGCTGGAAGCTTCCTCTGTGTCCATTCAGCAGAAACAAGCTAATTCCTTCCTGCACAAATCAGAGACCACTAACCATGCAATGGCAACATACCTGTGCGTTTTCCCATTCCCTGGCCCCTTCACAAAACTGAACCCATGACTCACACGTGGGGGATGGCTCAAACTACAGACAGTCCAGTAATGAAAGTTATCCTCTTGCATTTCAACAGAATGAGTGTTGTACTTTTGTTTTAAAAACATAACTCTCTAAAGAAGAGATTCAGTGACATGCACTGTTAATGACTGGGTCAAACTGTGGTGGCGTCAACAGGATATAGGGCTTGTCCTGGTCATCACTGCTTGCCTCTGGCATGCTCTAAGCATCTGCATGCTGAGCATACATATTTTGGCTTCTGTCTGGTGTCTGACCCTTCTCCTATTCTACAGTTAGTTTCTGTGATAGAAAAGGTTTCAAGATCTTATTCTGGTAGCCAAGAAAGCCGATAATGATATATGATACCTCTAATAACCTTACTATTCAGCCTATTATTTCATAGGTTCATGTGCCAGTGTAGATAACATGTTAGGAAAAATCGTAAAATAAAAAGAGTCTTCATGTGCTACTTTGTCATACTCATAGCCTGGATTTTCTCTGCAGCAATTATTGTCTGAATTTTCAGATCAATCTTTAATTTTCACCAATAGAATTACTAAAAAAATAGCACTTTAAAAGTGCATCTATGATATACTCCCCTATTTTTATATTCCTGTTGATTTCTGAAATGACCATGATAGGAGAAAGAAGGATGTGCTAATGAAACACAATCCCATTTTAGTGACTGTGTCTACAGCCAACAGCTGCCACTCTGGTATCGACTGAAGCTTTCATATTGCCAGAAGCCTTCTGAATATTAGAAGCTGGACTTTACACAAATTCTTTTCCTCCTGTGAGGAGGTTCAGACTTGCCATTGTCCATTTGAAAAATGGACAAAGTGCCCACAATTTTCACATGCTCCACATGCATTGCAATTATTGCAGTTCCTCTGCATGGCTCCTGTTGAGATGTAGATGCCGGCCTGAACTATTCAGAGCTACTGGCACAATAATTCAGAGAATTCCCTGGTACACATCACTGAAATTCATTGTTGCATGCAGAAGTGTGCATGAGTGTGAACATATGTTGGTCTGTGTAAATAAATCCTTTCCTGGCCTCTGTAGTGATGTAGTGACCCTGTAGCTGATGCTATGAAGCAGGAAATCCAATTATACCTCACTTAGCATGCAAAACTAAAAATGTTATTATTGGTCATAAAATTATCCAGCCCTTTAAAAAATCAAATCCATGAACTATGTGACTGTACTCCTCAGAGTGACCTCATGCTGTGTGAGGAAGTGCTTCTATTAATTTGTTTTAACTCTGCCTGCAATTATTGCAGGCTGCACTTGGTGTGAAAGAAGTTGGGGATGAAGTGTCTAATTTTCCTTCTAAAATGTCTGGGAATTTTTGTCTGGGTGAAAACTCCTTGAAGTGCACAGAGCTTTCACATACACTATACGGCATTTCCCAAGTCAAAGCGAAACAACATCACCACCAACAATATCTGTTTTCCAAATGTGCACTAAAATGAAATGTCAACAATTTGATGAACAGCTTCTGTAGCAAAACAGCGTGTATGTGACCAAATGGCAACAGACCACTGTTTACATGAAAAATGAACATATTGAAATAAAATTACTCTGAACTGCAACACTCCGTGTTATTTAAAAAAAAAAGTCCCCATTAGAGTCAATAGCAAGCCACATTATCTTTTAAAACCTTGAGCATATATAGATTCATTACATTGACGAATGAGGTAGATGAGAGTTGAGAAAGATCATCGGTATTTACTGTGCTGTGAATTCCTCTCCTAAAACTTCAGTTCCAAGGGGAACACTCGCTCACAGAGCCACAGTGGACAGGCTGAAAACCATGGAGGTTTCAATGACAAGGCACCTGTGTTCAGTCCAGTGCTCTGGAGTATCTTCTTTCTCTGGCTGGAGAGATATTTTATCTCCACTAAAATGAATTCTTTCCCCCAATTCAGCACCTTGGTAATATGAATCTTGACATGATTTACTTCAATTTTCCCATAAATATCCTCTGAACATTAACTTCTATAAATGTATTTCAGGATGCAGGTCCTTGAGGATGCCTGCACAAGCTTGTTTATTTGTATTTGGAGAGCAGAAAAAATGTTGTATTTGTGAGTTTCCCCATGCTGCTAGTAAACTAGACAAGCTTAATGGTGCAGTAAAAAACATATTAATCAAAATTTCAAGTCATATTTTTTATATACTGGTTGCAGAAGTTACAAATAAGACAAACAAAATCCCAGTTGAGATTGAATGCTTGAAAATTGACTGTTTCCTGGTCACTCTCCCTTACTGAGGACAGTCATGTCTCAGAAATTACAGGTGACCATCACAATTCAAAATCTTTTGAATTTTACTTGCAAATCTGAAAAAAAATCTGATATTGCCTTTTCCTGTGCACTCATGCATACATGCACTTAAAATAACAGCTTGGGATGCAGAGGCATTTGGCTTGGCAGTCTTGATTAATTAAAGAGGTGTGTACCTCTCTGAGGTGCACACCTCATCTAGTATAGGCTCTACAAACTACCCAAAAATTGTAAACTGCTACTCCAAAAGATGTGCACCTTATCTCCCATGAAAAGCTGTTACAATTTTTTTCTTAGTCAGTCATGAACATTAAATATCATACAATAAATCTGCTTATTCTGAAAGCTCATGGATTATATTACCTTGGCAACAAAGTGATCTGTTCTAACTGCTTTTTGTTGCCAGTTTTAGAGTTTTCTGTGACACATAAAAAGCCATGAAGAGAGGATGAGCAGTTAACAGACTCCTTCCCTTATGCTTGCATCATCAGTTTCTACAGATGGAAGAATAGATACAGTGTGAAAATGAGGTCTTTGTTTGCTCAGAACCAGTTGTGGTTAATAGATGAACTGGATTAAAAATAGGTTTTTCTGTTTTATGACAATTGCCAGTCAGGAATGGAATTTTATTTTTAATACAGCAAAATAACATTTTTAATCTGGAAAAGATAAAGTATGTAAAAGACATAAAATATTTGAACAAAATAAAGTGTTTATTTTTTCACATCCACCCTTGGACTTTCATTAATAAATAAGCATCCAAATGTGGTCATCAAAGATTACTACAAACGAATAAATAAAAAATAGAATCACTTAATTTGGAAGCTCCTTTAAGTCTCCCTTTTGTTAAATGACTGTGATAATTTGTTGATTGTTTCCAAAGGGAAAAAAGAAATAGTGACAGTGGTTCAGATAGCTAATGCTTCAGTGCTGTTGTGTTGGTGTGTCATGGTTTGACACTGGCACAATGCCAGTGCCCCCATGAAAATGTGATCCCTCCCTTGAATGCTGTGAAGTGGAATCTAGAACAGAGCAAAGCAGGCCCAAGCTTAATAACTGAAAAAAACTTTATTAAGCTACTACTACAAAAGAAAAAACTAAAGAAGGAAAAAAAAAAACACACAAAGATCAAATGAAAACCTTGCAAAGCATTCCTCCCCCCACCACCCAACTCCAACAAACCACAGTGAGACACAATCTGGACCCCAATCAGGTTTCCACCCCCCAAACAATCAATACTCAGTCCATCGAGGGAACAGAGTCTCTCCTGTGCCACAGACCCCCCAAGAAACACAGCTCCACATCCTGTGTTTCCATGTCACACATGGCACCGCCCGGAGAAAAAGTTTGCCATGGTGACCCTTCACCTTTCCGTGCACCACCAATGCATGGATGGACAGACTGCTTTTAGGACTTTTCCTTTCAAGGATGCCCTGCCAAGAGGGGAGAAAACAACAGTTCAGTTTTTCATTGTTTGGGACCACAGTCCCCCCCATTTTCCCCTGGGGCCGAGGGCTCAAGAACAGAGATCTTCTTCTCTTCTCTTTCCTTTCCAGGAAAAGGGGGTGCCACCACAAACCCCCTAACCTTTTCTCCGTTCACTCCACTTTTTGTCTTTTTCCCAGCTGAAGCAGGTCTCTTGACTCACTGGCATCCTCAGAAAAAAACAGTCCCTCTTGGAGGAGAAGATTGGTTCAGGTTGTGGCTAACACGGAAAAGTCCAGCCAAAAGCCACTCCTTGTCCCCCTCCCATCTAGAATTCCTCCTTCTAACATCCCAGGGTCCAAGGTGTCCCTCTTCCTCTCTTTCAAACCGAGGAGGGGAAAGGAAAATTCACAAAGCTTTCATTTCTCAAGGAAGGGTTAAAAATCCGAACTCTCGGGATGGCTCGATGCCCGGACATCCAGCAACTCCCACACAACTGGGCACCTTGCAGCTCCCCCCGCTCCTCCTTTCTCGCGGTGGAATTGCTGACAGAACTGCCGATGTCTCTTTCTCTCTCCCTCTCGGGAGAGGAACTCTGGGTGGGGGAAATGGAGACATCCCAGATTTCTTCCACCCTTCCATCTGCAGGGGCTAGCCCGGTTCCAGTCCTTCCACCACCCTTGGGGCTTTCGGCCTACCTTTCTCAGGCCATGGGGGCTTCCCCTCCCCCACCCAGCTCGTGGCTGGGCAGGGGAGGTTTGCACTGCACGCTGACCGGAACCAAAGAGAGCGAGTTCCCCTGGGAATTCTGCTTTTAACCCCTCTGTGTTCTCAGAGGTGTGTCTACTTTCAATTGGTCAATATCTAAATTGACCTTTTCCTTCTGGAAAAAATTCTCCTTCTGTGTCAAATCAAGACATGGTGTCACTGAGAGATGAAAATCTCCCACCCAGCACAAGGATGAGATGGAGCCAATTTCCCACAGAGGCTGTAGCCAAACCCTATCAAAACCTCCTGCCACTTTAGAGCACACTTCCAGGGAACTTCTCCTACTCAGATGGAAAGGGACCTGCAGCACTGTCTTTAATGTGTTGA